ACAGAAGGAAACTGTGACATTAGCAACCTTGAACTGGTGAGGAAGAACGGGAGGAGCCAAAGAGGATGGGTGTCACTGTCTGTCTCCTCTTTACATCTGGCAGAGTCCAGAATGAGACCACAAGGCCGCTCAGGATGGGTCTGAGAGCTTGGGAGAACAAATTTGGACAGATTAAGGTCTCGGATGAGTCATAAGCAAAGCCAGCCCGAGATAATGGAATCTGGCCAAAGATTCTGCTGGAAGGGAGAATCCAAAATCATCTCATGCATTCCCCCTCCCCCTAAAGCCCTGATTTCTTAATTGATAGTTAAAATGATTGCCTACTATATTTAAATAGCTGTCACCTATAAGTGATAGAAAAGGTAGACACAGGTAGTGTCAAATTTTTCTTGATTTTTCTTTTAAAGAGGGAAAGGATAAGGATTTTATAAATTTATTTTATTAAATTTGTTGTATGGTCATTTTCAGTCATGTCCGACTTTGTGACCCCATTTGGGGTTTTCTCGGCAAAACTACTGGAATCCTTCTCCAGCTCACTTTACAGCTGAGGAAACTGAGGCAAATAGGGTTAAGTGCCTCGCCCAGAGTCATACAGATAGTTAAGTGTCTGAGGCCACATTTTAACCTACTTCTTCCTTAGTCCAGCCCCGGCACTTTATCCACCAGCTGCCCCATTTTGTTAAATAAATACAATCAAATTCAAAAAAGCAAACATTAAGTGCCTACAGCGTACAAGAAAAAATACTGAGGACATGGGTTCAAATCCTGACTTGCCACTTACTATGTATATGGCCTTTTTACCCCTCTGTGCCTCAGTTTATTTATCTGTAAAATAAGAGTCAGATTCCATGTCCTCTGAGGTCTTTTTCCAGTTCTGAATCTATAAGCCCACTATGTTCCAGGTACTGTACCAAAATGAGTCTCCGTGTCCTCCAGAGGGATCCGAATCCTTGTTCTAGCTCTGCGATTAGCTAGCTATGTGACTTTGGGCATTTGGGCTCTCGGGGTAGAGCTGATTCCTTTCTCCAGACCTCAGTTCCCTCATCTGCTAGATGGGAAGTTGGACCAAATGATCCCTAGGAACCCTTCCTTGGACCCTAACATTCTGCGAGGGGAAAAGCGGACGGAGCAGAAAGCAGGTCAGTTCTGTAATCAAATGAGAGGTCAGAGATTAAGGAGAGTTTTGCCTCGATCCAGGCTTCGTCTGGCTCCTATCCCAAGGGCCATTAAGGTTTGTTAAAGGATGTCTGCAAGGTCACTGCTCCCTGATCTGAGTGTGCCAGATCTGGACCAGCCATCTAGGAGGAAAAGTTCTTCTTGGCAGGACATTCCATCCCTAGGATTATTTTTATGATGCCTTCTATCTCTGCATGATTTTTGTTATCAGGCACAATTTTCTAATACTTTTAAAGACTCCAAACCAAATGTACTCTCTAGCCAATGTCATTTTATTTTAGCCCGGATCTTCCATGTACCACCTGCATGGACTTGGGCACGCCACCTGTAAAACGGGGAGATTAGACGACATAGCCTCGAAGGTCCTTTCCAACTCGTGACCTAGGATCCCATGATTCTCTCAGCCTCAGTTTCCTTATTTATCAAACAAGGGGGATTGGACTAGATGGTTTCTGAAAGCCCACAATCCTATGATTTTCAGCCTCAGTTTCCTCATTTTTAAAACAAGAGGGTTGATGCCTCCGAGGTCTCTTTGAGCTCTAGATATAGTACCCTATGACCCCAAGACCGAGTCAACAACATGCCCGGCAAGAAATGTTGTCATTAATGGAACTTGTTTATTGACATTTTAAAGTGTTCCAAAATTCCTACATCACCAAAACAAACGAAACAAAAACAAAACAGGATCCAGGCTTTGTTTTTAACCTTGTTTTAAAACTAGACCAGAGATTAGCGTTAGCAAGAACCTGAATATCTGTGACCTTGGTTAGCAGAAACGCAAGCCAGGTATGTTTCAGTTTTAATGGAAATCTGGGTTCCCTATTGTATACTACTCAATAAATACCATGGGAAAGACATAGCTACATTGCAGACTAGATGTTTAGAGAGCTAGGCTCTGCCACTAGTTAACTGCATGACCCTAGAAAAATAATGTTCACTTCTCTGGCCTAAGTTTCATCTGTCAAATGAGGTTACTGGTCTATGCTATTGCTGAGGTCCTACATAATTGGACATTGTATGAGCCTCAAGGAAAAAATATTAGATATTCTCTCTTGCTCTGCCATAAACTTACTCTACGAACTCAGACGTACTCCTTACCCCTTCTTGGCCTCCATCTGTCATACGAGGGGCATCAATGCTTTGGGTCTCTGACATCAACCAAGGTAGCATTAGTAACTTCAGCTCCAATAGGTAATGGGGGCAGCTGGATGGCGCCATCATGGATAGAGTGCTGGGCCTGGTCTCAGGAAGACTCATCTTCATGAGTTCAAATGTGGTTTCAGACGCTTACTAACTGTGTGATCCTGGGCAAGTCACTTAACTCTGTTTACCTCAGTTTCCTCATCTGTAAAATGAGCTGGAGAAGGAAATGGCAAACCACTCCAATATCTTTGCCAAGAAAACTCCAAACGAGGTCAGGAAGACTCATCTTCCTGAGTTCAAATCTGGTTTCAGACACTTAACTAGCTATGTGACCCTGGGCAAATTACTTCACCCTGTTTGCCTTAGTTTCCTCATCGGTCATACGAGTTGGAGAAGCAAATGGCAAACCACTCCAGTATCTTTGCCAAGAAAACTCCAAAAGGGGTTAGGAAAAATCAGGCATGACTGAAAATGACTGAACCAAAAAAAAAAAAGGTTTTGACCCCAAATCAACAGAACACAAGAAGAGGAATTAACAACAAATCAGTTAGTTAATTGTGCTACCCTGGACAAGTGGCTTCAGCAAAATGGCTTTTATAGCTTGCTCTAACCTGTTCAACTAGACCCATTTAAAAATCCCTGGCAGCTCATTCTGGAGAGGACCTTTCCAGGAACCCAAGGGCTAGGACATGACCGGACTGCCTCTTAGATCTCAAATCCAAAAGGCTTCTCCCCAGTCAGGGGAGGGGAGCTTGAAATAAGAGAGTACCCATTTTCCAAACACGTGGTAGAGATAGGGTATTACAAACCCTACCCTACCCCCCACCCCACTCCTCTCCGATGTGGTCATCAGTCACTTGTCAGCAGGACACAAAACTCTGTTCATCCTTCCTTTGGATGCTTCTGCCCAGCAACCATGAAAGGCTGTATTGGGAGCTGCGAGTGGCATGGCAGGCCTGGTCTCCTGTCACCCACATACCCTCCAACCTGGAGACCCTCAAAAGAATAGGTGCTAACAAGAGGGAAAGAGCTACAAAAAGAATCAGAGAACATAAAATAAAACAAAAGAAAAACTAAGTGGCACAAAATTTGGGAAATTCTCACCCGGTTACCCTTATAAACATCCCATGTCAGACAATTCAAGGGTCCAAGGGTGGAAATATAATAAACTAAACATGAGTCCCACATTCTTCAAATCTCTCCACAGAAGGAAAGAGGGTTAGTTTAGAATACAAAGGACCTAGGTTCAAATCCTGACTCCAATACTTACTACCCATGTGGCCTGTCATCTCACCTATACAGGTGAAGCCTTAGCTTCTTCATCAGTAAAATGAGCTAGACTAGATGGTCTCTTCCAGCTCTAAATCTATGATCCTAGGACCTGGGTTCAAATCAAAAAGCACTGCATTTGGAGTCAGAAGGCCTGGGTTTGAATCCTGGCCCAATTTGCTATTTATTACCCATGTGACCCTGGGTAAGTTAAATAATTTTTCTAAGTTTCAGTTCATATGTAAAATGGCTTTTAAGCAAGATGGCTTTTAAGGTCCCTTCCAACTCTGAATCTATGATTCTTCACATATTCCCAAGATAACATCAAATTGACGGTCCCATTCTAACTTATTAGACCACAACTTAAACTCCATATAAATCCTTAAGAGTAAGGATTCTTTGTTGAAGAATGCCATCTGCACACACAGAGATGGATTTTCCCACTAACCCCACAGCCCTTTATAAAGAAACATTTCTCACAGGAGCCAAGGAGGATTACAAAGGGAAGGTATCATTCAACCCATTTCAAAATTGGAAATACTAAGGAAAATGACAGGAGATGTCCCTCCCAAAAGAATGTAATCTCATTGAGTGTAGAGGGCATTTTGTTTATCTTTTCATTCCCTGACCCTAGCACCGGCACATAGTATGAACCTAATAAATGGTTGGTGATTGACTGATAAGCCAACCCTTAGCACCCTAGTGCCTAACAGCTGAGCTTTCTAGGGTAGGTACATCATGATTCACCTACCATACAAAGTAGTAAATTAGGAAAAGGAAAAGGGGGAATTGTTAAGCACCTCAGATAAAAAGGAGTCTTGGGGTACACAATAGTCAAGGTAAGACCATTTAAAGAAAATGAGTAACAACTTTTGATTTTTATTTTGCTACCAGAACACATTTCTATTAAATTATTCTGTTAAATTTCTATTTTATTATTATTTTCATAAATATTTTATTATTATTTTATCACCCTATCTATGGTGCTTAAAAAAAAAAGCACAAGCCACTTCTCTCGGTCACAGCTAACAACCACAGACTACTAGACTTAGATGAGTCCTGCCTCGGACACTTACAAGCTACGTAACCCTCAGACTTGCAAAGTCTGTCTCCTTATCTGGAAAATGGGCATAACAATACCAACTATCTCATACGACAGTTGCGAGGCTCAAATGAGAAAACGAGGTAAAACAATTTGTAAACCTTAAAGTCCTTTATAAACATAAGCTACTATTATTATTATTTTTGAAAAGCCCTATCCACCTGGAGCTTTCCAGAAAGCCCGAGTCCCTTTTCTCTCTTACTTCTCAATGTCTGTTTTGAAGTGTGACCAGGACGGAGATTGGTACAGCCAGACTTTATTTGTGCGACGTTCTCTACAATCTCTACAACTCAAAAGGAAGGAGGGCAGCTTGTAAAAGGCGTTTGTTTTATTTAGTACATTCTAATCAAAGTTGGATACTTAGTAACAGCCGTGGATAAACACTTTGGGAAAAATAAAACAGGCCCGTTTTCCCCTGCATCTGGAAGAAAATGAAGTCCAAAGTACTCGACAGGGGAGAAGGCAGACAACTGCCGATTCTGTGTGGCCAGACAATTCAAGGACGACCCGCACATTGATTTTTAGAGCCATTTCCAAAAAAGTGAAAATGGCCACAGGTCAGGACTTTGGCTACCTCAGCAAGGACAAAACATTGTTTTCATCACCATGGTCTCAGTTGCACCTGTGGAGCGTGACATTCTTGTATTTAGCCTTTTTTTTTTTTTTAACAAAAACAAAACAAGGAAAATCAAGGTCCGTTTGCACCAGTTTGAAATGTTTCTGAAGTAAGGCTCCTTTTTTTTTTTTTTTTTTTTTTTTTTTAAATAAAGGGCTACAGTACTCTCCTACTCACACGAGATCGTCGGCCGTTTGGAGTCAGAAGACAAATACAAGATTTCACGGTCACTGTTGGATTTGGTGAATGGTATAAAACAAAAGATAAATACTGACAAGCATGTTCTGTTTAACAAGAACAACAAAAACTCTAAACAAGTACACCAGAATGTAAAATAAAGACATTCTAAGACACCACCAGGCAAATAAGTTGTGAGCAGCCCCATCTCGGCTTCTCCCTTTCCAGTTCTTTTGGCGCCAGCTCTGAGCTTTAACATCAGCTGAACACCTGGCAGCATGTACCCTTGACACCCCGACAGCTAAGAACTCACACACAAAAATGACCTATTAAAAAAAAAAAAAAAGAGGTTTCCCTGACCCTCAGGTTGGCAAATGTACCACCAAACACTGAATCATAAAAAAGGGAGAGAGAAAGACTCCTCTTGGTGTCGGGGTAAAGTCACTCAGATGAGAAAAGTGATGGAGATTTTAATATAGTTGACTTGTTCCCCCCCCCCCCCAGCCTTCCTTGGACAGTTAAATTAGTTTGACTACAGTTGTTCTTATGAGGAAATCCCATTTCTGAGTTGGACACGTGGCTAGCCAGGGCTATGCCGATTTGGCTCTCTTGACATAGCTGCATTCAGAGAGATTCTACATGAGGCGTGTTTAGAAAAAAGAGAGAAATTTATACCTGGTACTGATAGTCTTTCAAGTAATCTTTTAGTCTTGTTGGTAAAGGCAATTCCCAGATCTTAGTTGTACATTTGTTTATACAGAGTCTGCAGAGATGCTGGAGGGTTGGAGTGGACGTATAGAGGGGTTTTGTCAAATAGAGATGCACGGTTCCATTCCGAGGGGTTTCGGCACCCGTCCTCTTGTCCTTGCAAGTTCGCACGTAGTATTCAATTAGATGGACCACGCTGTCAAATTGTTTCAGCCTGGATTTGACGCAGATGATGGAGTCCAATCTAAATTTCCCATCCTGGTATTCTATCCGAAGATTGGTTGGTCCTGCTGAGGTTTTGACAGATATAGTAAGCAAGTAGTCCGAGTGAGAACTGTCTCTGATCAGGAAGGTTCCTTCTGGGGCGTCTTTTAATTTCTCTTTGGCTTCATTAACAGTCATGCTTCCCCAGTACCATCCTGAGGTTGATGTTTAAGAAGAAAAAAAGGAGAAGAAAGGTGAGGGGACTATTCTAACCAGTTATCACGGGAGAGAAATTGCTGCTAGGAAAACTCCTCCTCACTTCTACAGAAAGTTTGCAAGGGGAGAATGTGTTTCCTGCAGAGGCTGCCAGAACTTCAGCTTGGGAAAACTTTAAGGAAGTTTGGAATCTATTTGATTTTCAGGGATGCCGAATGGAGACTTTCTATCTCTAAATAAAAGCCTTCCTCTTAATGGACTTTTTCAAAGTTAAAAACTTAAAAAAAAAAAAACTTTTCAATGCTGAAGTTACTTTTCTTGCTGAAGACCTCCAACAGCCCCCAGTGCTTTTCCTACTCATTTCTGTGAAGTTACTAAGCTCAAAATTCAGTGACACATAGGCACAGAAAGTCCATTTTCCAACACTGGTAATTCTGCTGAAGACCCCCTGCCCTATCCTATCATCAAAGAACCATTTCACATTACCTCTGCTTTCATCTCTGGGGAGAATTCTAAGTTGTTCTATTTTTCTCCCCGAGAAGGATGTTTTAGTTATTCCTGTCTTTATTCAAGGAGGGCTAAAGCTCATTTCTTTAAGCATATCTCCCCCCCCCCCAAAAAAATCTATATATAATATACATTGCATATTATTATATATTATCATATGGTCTATATATCATGTACACATATGTATATTATACATATTAGAGAAAAAGAGAGCATAGAAAACCATTTTTCATTATTGCTTCAATTACGGCCACTTTTTTCTTTTTTTAAATCCCTTATCACTCCGTAAGAAAAAGCCCAGCGTGCAGCCTCCGAGAAAGCTCAGTACTTGCTCAGAACATTTTTACTCCTTTGGACTTTGCTTGGCTTCACCTCTTGTAAAACCCGACAGTAAACCAGGGCGGTCTCCTCTTTTTATCCGCCTGCACCCAGTTCTGCTGCTATAGCAGACGTAAACCAGAGTGCCTCTATGGTTTAGGAAGTTTGGCCTCTGTCTCTGTTCCCCTCCTGGCAGGCCCTTCTTCCCCTGCTGGAGGCTGAAAACCCTGCATGATTTGCAATGGAGAGGCTGCAGCAGCAGCTGGTTCTGCTGCAGGATCACCTACCTCTCTCCCTCCCTCCCGGGTGCTGCAAAAGTCTCCCAAGACCTTGGAAAGACACCACGGTCAGGCTCCCCACCCCCATGGTCAAACTAAATACCTGGGCTCAGCCAGGGGCAGAAAGAGAAGGCTCAGGCTGCAGGATATGTTGCAAAATAGTAATAATAACAACAACATATGTAGGTATAGATATTTTTGCTTTCTCTTTCAGATGCCAAGGGGGGATGATGAGCAGCACTTTAGGAAGGGGGTAAGGGGGCAGCAGTGAGAGGCACTAGCTTTTCCTGCTCTCCCCACCCTTATAATTCCATCCTAATCCACCAGCGCCCGACTGCAGACTGCCCCACTTCTGCCCGGACCATCGGGCTGGCCACAGCTCCAGCCCAGGAATTCGGCAGCAGCCTGGAAGCTGGAGCTCCAGGGAGCACCAGCACCTCCCAGTCATCTCCCAGGCTAGGCACCCGCCAAAGGGGCGGACGGCCACGGAGAGAGAGAAGCTAGGCAGACGACTCCTTCCTGCCCAGTTTCAGATTTATTTCTGTCCCCTCCCGGACACAAGATTCCTGGGGGAATGAGGCTATTCTAGGTCAAAGGGATGGCACGAGGCTGCTCTGTTCCTAAGCAATTCCCTCACACCCCTGAGTTCTTCCCCAGGACCTAATCTTTCTCTAACTGCCCCCTTTCTAGATCCCCAAGGATAATGCATGTAGACCTGCCCATCATTTTGCAGAAACTAAAGGCCGGGCAGTTTAGATGACTTATCAGAGTTGAGATTTGAACCCAAGTCTTTGGACTTCAAATGCTTTTTGGCATGTACCTTGGATCAAGCTGAGGAGAGGAGCACTTTCTCTTCCAGTTGCTAGAAGCTCTGAAAGTGGGCCGTCTCCCCCCCTCCCCCACCTTCTCCAGTCTCCCTTGATGTGGAGGGTGGGGCTGAGTGGGAGGGGGGTGGCGCTGCAAGGTGAAGCTGTGACTCTATCTCTGCCCTCTTACTCCCTTCACACCTTGATCCCGTTTCTCTGGCTAGCCCCCCTCAGTTTCCTGAGATGTCCATGTCTTTGCCCTAAGATTATCTGACCTGGAGTTCAGCAGACTGGAACCCTGACCCTCGCTCTTTCTTTGTCCCATCCCCTCACCTACCTGCCTGGCTCAATTCCCGCATGGCTGTAGCCAAACGCACCACCTCCGAGGGTTGCTCCTCTGCTGCACCTGCCGCCCCCCACTGGCTTCGAGTCCCTTCCGCACCATCCACCGTGGACTCGTGGGACCTTAGGGTCATGGGGAAAGGGTCACCACGACGGAGAAGCTGCCACCGAAACCGGGGCTCGGAGGAAGACGATGTGGGGTCTGGGTGGGCCGTCCGTCCTTCCTTGAAGTCAAGGGGATCCTCAAAACACCTCCCGAGGAGAAAACCAAGCTGGTGGGGAAGGGAAAGGGGAAGGGGATCCTGGCTGCTTTTCCTCCCCAGTGCGGGGTAGGAGGATGGCAAAGCCCCCCAGCGCACCGTCACCCTCTATTCGCCTGCAATGAGAAAAGAGGAGAGGGGACAAAGGGAGAGAGAATCAGAGTGAGACCTCCTCGTTGGGAGGTCGAGCAGAGACTCATTCAGGCTCGACCCTCACCACCCCGCCCTGCAGCAGCGGCGGCACTTCTAACCCCAGGAGCATCCAGGTTCCACCTTGGCCAAGGCGGCTGGGGGTGGGGAGCCAGATCGAGGGGTGAGGGATGAGGCACAGAGGTGGGGGGGGCGCCAGCCCGCCGCTGTCAGGCTTTCTCTGGAGGGAGGCGAGTCACCTGCAACCTCGGTGGGATTTCAAGGGCAAGTGAGGAAGGGCGGCCGATGGAAAAAAGGGAGCAAGGTTACCAAGGGCGCCAGCCCCCCACCCCAAAAGCAGCACTACACATGTCGAAGTACCCTGGGGACGTGGGGATGAGGGGTGGGGAAGGAAGCCCACTACAAACCTGGTCCCCAGCCCGAGAGCCGTCTGCGGTCTGCTGGACAGCGAGTCTCCTTTCTCACACTAAGGCGCCGATTTTCCCCAGGGAGGGGGGATCGAAGCCCATGACATTGAAAGGAACGAATGGTCACATCCCTGCCCAAGAGATTTCTCTGGTTTTCTCCCTCCTCCTCTCCTTCCTTCCTTTCCTCCCTCCTCCTCCCTCTGTCGGGCTCCCGCGGAGGCAGCTGTGGGAGCTCCAGCTCAGGCAGCCCGTGCTGGTGCAGCCGCCGGCGCTGTCGAGGAATCGACCCTCCCTAACCACATGGGGCTGGGGGACCAGGAGGCGCTACGGCCACGCGAGCGTGCGCCCTAGAAACTGAAATGTACGCTGTGCCCTTACCTCGGCCGCCGCCTTCCTCCTCCTCCTCCTCCTCCCTCTCCTTCTCTAACCCAGGCTGTCTCCCCAGTGGACATGGGGCGGAGGGAGAGGAGGGGTGTCTGCCCAAGCCCCCCCCCGATGTTTAATAGGGCACTGAGATGCCCTGGGAGGTGGCAGACCCGGAGCGTGGCAGTGGTGCTGACAGTGGCTGGAACTCCCTCAGCAGGCGACGGCCAAAAGCCCAAGGGACCGTGTCCTTCTTCTCCGCCACCCCCACACCCCCCACACTTTTTTTTTCTTCCCTCCCGTCTCCCTCCAGCAGCTTCCCGGGTTTCCCTCTGGCTGGTGGGAGGGGGGAAGGGAAAGGGGGTGGGAGTGAGGCTGGAAGAGAGGGAGGGGCAGGAGGTCAGATTATTAGAAGGATTATTAATTTGAATGGGAATTCGGAGTCAGGGGTGGAGAGGAGGAACATTCCCGGGAGACGTCGGGGACGCCAGGAAGGAATTGTAAAGAGGGTGGAAGTCCCGGGGGTGCGGGGGGGGGGGGGGGGGCAGAGCTTGCAGGTCGACCCCGTTGCAGGGGAGGCGGTAAAAACCGGGGAGCAGAGCGCTTCCGTCCCCCCTCCCCTGCAGGCGACTTAGCCTCCCCAGCCCCAGGCTGCCCTCCCGGGGCGGAGCCCTCCGGGAGTGCCCCCGTTGGTACCTGCCAGCAGCCCCCTCCAGGGCTCCCTCCTCCCGCTGCGGCCGCCGCCGCCGCTCGGGCCCCCCGGGAGGGGGTGGGAGTGCCGAGCGCAGGGGGGCCGGGCGCGCACCATCCGCGGCAGCGGCTGCTAGCGCGCGGGGGCGCATGCTTCGGGGGCTGCCCAGCGCAGCCGGCCGAGAAGCGGGGCTCGAAGGAGAAGGCGGTCGGGGCCTCGCGCGCGCGCGCGCCTCACTCCGCTCCGCTCCGGCCGCGGCCGAGCCCCCCGCCCCGCGCCCTGGCCCCACCCCCTTCCCTCCCGGGCTCGGCGTTCTCCCCACCGAGGCGGAGGAAGGGGCCGCTTTCCAGGAACTTTCCAGGAATCCGCGTCACGTGGCCGCAGCCGGTCTGCAGCTTTAAAGAGGCTCCCGAGAAGCCGCAGCAGCCGCCGCCCCAGCTCGGGCAACGCGGAGCTGTCCCGCCCGCCGACCCGACGTGGCGGGGGGCAGCCCTGCTCCTCCACCCGCAGCCATTGCATTATCCCCCCACCCCAGCCCGTGAGCCCACAAACGTTTATTAAACGCCCGCTATCAACTCAAGCGTCCGGCAAAGAAAGGCAAAGGAAGTCTCCCCCCTCGAGGAGCTTATGATCCAAAGTGCCCCCGAAGGGAGGGCACGGGACACCGGTCCGCTCCCTGCCCCCAGAACTTCCGAAGGGTGATGACCAACGCCCCCAGCCCCGGGGTTCACCGTAGCGGGTGGGCCCTGTCCAAGGCTGGAAGGATGCCCGCCAAGGCGACTTCCTCCTCCCTCCGACGGCACCTGCATCCTCGCCATCTCCTGGCTTATTTCACACACGCACTCCCCCAGTGTGATCCCCTGTGCCTCCTCCAAGACCGCTCCCATCCAGACTAGCAGGAGGCAGAAGATTCTCGGAAACACGGCCCCCTAGCCGGGGTGCTGGGGGGTGCGAGAAGTGCCACTCCTACATCCCGACTGAGTGGCTTCCCCCTCTACCCCTTCGGACGAGAAGGAGCAGGGAGAAACCGGGGCCGCCGCTTGGGCAGCAGGGAGGGTGGGGGGCCACTTTGACGCGGGTCCCTGGAACGCACCGCCGCCGGCCAAGCCCGAGAGCCGAGGAGACGCGCGCCTCCTTAACCAGCCCCAGCGGCTCCGACAGTCCCCTCCCTCCCTCCCAAACGCCCCCAGCTCCACCCTGCTCGCCCCGCCCCGTCCAGCTGCGCTGCTGCTCACCTGCGCCAGCGGAGCAGGGCTACGCCCATCCCTACCTAGGCTTCCTGGGAGGCCCGGGACGGGACCAGCCTGGCGCTCCCTGGAGTGTCCGTGTCACCCCTCTTCGCCTGCAGATAGCTGGGTGACCCAGAGGACGGGAGGATCCGAGAAAGCCAGAGCTTCCCGTCCCCCCCCCCCCTCCACCCCGCTATAGGAGGCTCAGGGCTTCAACTCATCACCTCTCCCCCGCACCCCCGCCCCCGAAGAGTGACCTACTTTAAAAGTGACCTACTTTTTTAAAATCCTAATACTCTCACGGGAAAACTGGATCCAGAATTTAGATAAGCATTTTTTTTCTTTGAAATATCATCCTGTTGCATCACTTTACTAAAGCCTGAAAGGTCAACAGCCACTTTGGGGGATGCTATGGTGCAGGAGAAAGCTGGGGCGGGAGGAAGACAGGCACAGCGGGTGGGGAGGGAGTAGGAATCCGATGAAAGCCTGTGCTTGGCGCCCCCTCTGCTGGCGGTTCGAAGGTTTGCAGCTGAGGGATTGGCTCTTGGCTGGGAAATGCGCAATTGAGTAAGAGACCCAAGATGTCAGAAGTGTCTCACCCTACCGTTTTGGAGATGAAGAAAGTGAGGCAGACAGGTTAAGTGATCTCCCCAGAGTCACGCAGCAAGTAAGTAGCTGAGGCTGGATTTGAACTCAGGTCTTCCTGACTCCAGGCCCAGCAGCTCTATCTACTGCTACCCCCCTTGATCTCTCTGGGCCTCGGGTTTCTCATCTGTAAAATGGGAAGAGAGCATTAGACCAAATGATCACAGGATCATAGATTTCAAGCTGGAACAGGCCTCAGAAGCCACTCGGTCTAACTGCCTCATTTTGCACATGAGGACTGACGCCCAGAGATGTTAAGTGACTTGCCAAAAGTCACAGGCTGGAGGAGGACTTGAAGCCAGATTTTCTTGCTCTAAGTCCCTTCCCTGGGACCTCATGCTTCTAAGACTGTGCAGGTTACCATCAAATGATGGCAATATATCCTCCAGCTGACCACTACCAGCTGTCCCAAGAATAGACATGTTCTGTCTTGCCATATAACCTTGTATATGCACCTCTTAAATCCGGGAGACACTATCTAGGATTAATTACATCATTACACCCCAAGCCCAAGAAGAGAACACAGAAAATAATCTTAGGAGAGGCAAAGTATGATAGCAGAGAGAAAGCTGGCCTCAAAGCCAAGAAGTCATGGTTTCAGGTTTTGCCTTTGACACAGGCTGGCTATGTAATCTTGAGCAAGTCACAACTCCTCAGTTTCCTTATCTTTAAACTGGGAATCAGAACTCTTGCATTAACTATCCACAATGGAAAAATAAAGTGGATGAAAAATACATATTACTCAAATTGTGACATTTAGGTGGACAGGCAACCCACCAATATATCAGACAATAGTTGGAATTCAAACATTTTCCTAGACAACTATTGCCAATGTAATATGCCAGGCCCAGAGTAAGAGGAGATCAAGCTGGTGGCTATCCCATGACACAAAAGTATCTTTTAAATGTTAATCTTTTTTCCATAATGCCATGGGTCACAGAACACCAGGATCAAATATAAAATCCTGTTTGGCTGTGAAGCCCTTCAATAAGCACCTTCCCCACCACACACACCTTTCCAGTCTTCTTACATATTGTTACCACCACCACCATCTACTCTCCAAAAGAGTGACACTGACCTCTTTGCTGTTCCTGAAACAAAACACTCCATCTCTCAGTTCTGGGCATTTCTCACTGGCTATCTCCCATGCTTGGAAAGTTCTCTCTCTTCATTTCCTCTCTCTGGTTACCTTCAAATCCCAGTTAAAAGCCCACCATCTACAAGAAACCTTTCCAAATCCTTCTTAACTCTAGGGCCTTTCTGCTATTGATTGCTTCCTATTTATCCTGAATATAGCTTGTTTGTACATTTTGTTGTTTTTCGGTTGTGTCTGACTCTTCATGACCCCATTTGGGGTTTTCTTGGTAAAGATACTAGAGTAGTTTGCCATTTCCTTTCATTGTACATAGGTGTTTATATGTTATCTCCCCCCCCCCCCCATATCATAAGCTTCTCAAAGGCAGGGAAAGTCTTTTGACTTTCTTTGTACCCCGAGCACTTGGCATAGTGCCAGGAGCATTTTAGGCACATAGTAAACACTTATTGACTGACCAACAATGAATGAATGATGATCTCTGACCAATTAATTATTGCAGTATCATGGATATCCATAGATTTTAGCCTATTCCCAATGACTCGCACTGAGGAGTGGTGTAAGACATTATCAATGACAGGTGTGACCAACTGAAAAAGGACATGACCAGTCATGTAGCAAGAGCCAGGGATGGCCAGCCCAAGTGTTGGACTGGTGTCCTCAGAATGTTAACAGATTGAGAGTAAGAGCTACCGCATCAGGTAGATAAAACTAAAGTCTTGTTTTCATCCTGGGATTTCAGCACGTAGAGATGGAGACTGGGAAGTAACCTATTCACTACATTTCTCGGGTCTCACTGAAATGCAGCTTTTTGTAATTCAGGTGCCTCTAAGGCTTTCCCCACCTCTGATGAAGATGGAACAATCTTAATCCTTCCTCCAGGCTTTTAATAAGCCCTAATAATTCTTTTATCTAAAGTACTTTTAAGTTTTTCAAAGAGCTTCCCTCATAATAATCATGAGAATGCAAAATTCTTCCACAGATTAAATGTCTAGCATAGTCTTGCACACAGCAGGCACTAGATAAATGTGTGCTGAATTGGTTGAATCTCACTGGTGCGGCTACTGCCTGATTCAATGCAGAGCTTAACTCCCCACATCTTTTTATCCTGTATGATTTTCTGTGTCTTCCCATATTTTCCACAAATGATCTATTAACCTGATTATATTGCAGGCTGGTGCAAAGTGAAGTAGGTAGGTTACAATGGTACACTGAAGAATTCAGAAAAGTTTTCTTTCCTGGGAAATTTTGCTCTAGCTCAACCTGCTGTTAACATGTTACTTGTTTCTCCCAAATGTCTTTCAACTCTGTATAATCCCTACTTGCCTTTTGTCTTCCCAATCCAGTCCAAAGGACTATAAAAATGTTGAGAATTTGTTTAGTTTTGGAGTGAGCTTGGCTCATTCAAATGTCTATAGTCTGGCTCTTCCCTTCTAGCTTAAGAAAGAAGGAAGTCCTTGACCAAACAAGAAAACACAGAGTACTGGATCAACTTTCCAATATTTCCCTATCCTTGACAACTCAGCTCAAATGTCACCTTCTCCATGAAGTCTTTCCTCAACTCACAATACTCCCAAATGTGGCCAGAACCAGATTAAAATGTAAGTGGGAAATATTTAACAAAATAAATAAAAATACAGTACAACACAGATAATGTTCATTTGTGGTTTTCTAAGTCAATATGATGCCAGGAGGGATCTGTTTTCATTTGAGTTTGACACCACTGTTGGGGAGAACTAAAGAACCAATGAAAAGGCAAAGGTGTAGTGGGTGGTAATTAACAAATGCTTCTTGATTGACTAATAAAGGTCACTGAGTCTGTGTCTAAGCAGATCTTCTTGTCCTTGCTTGAAAATAGTGCTTATGTCCCT